GTAGTATTAGGTTCTCTAATCATTAGTGCCTTTTATGTTGTTGTGCTTTTGGTATTATGTCTGCTTATCATCGGCCACTCGGCCACTGGTCGATTCATACCGAAAGCATCACTGGCTACTGCCGTGGAGGTATCAAACATCAATTAATGTTTCCTATTTCAGCTAAAAAACATTTGTTCCTTGCAAAGGCTAAAATGAGTATAAAATGGGATGCTTTGCATTTAGAAGTTGCATTAGTTATTCGGACATTTCGAGAGAAAAGTTGTTGAAGTCCTTGTTTCTTTATACAAAGAATTCAAACTTGAAGAATGATATAATAATTAAAAAATCTAAATCACTACATTTTCTTGCTTTTCTAGCCTGAATACTGTATCATAAGCCAAAGCTGGTGTTTTTGAAAATATTATTAAAAGCTATATTTCGGCCTGCAATATGAGTATCTCATTTTTATTTTTGGGTAATTGTGTGAAACATTTTGTTTGAGACTCTTAAACTCTGAATAGCATGTACTAAGTCGAAAATGTGGAACTCATATTCCTAGTAATTTGAAGGACTCGTAATTTGAATGTTGATGACATTATTACAATTGATTGATTTGGAGCTGTCAAAACATGATGGGAGTTCTCAGGAGACTGATGTGGTCCCTACACCTAAAGTTATAATCGATCAGGATTCAGATCCATGTGTCCTAGTTCTCAGAGGGTTATCTCCCTCTGAGAAGTCTATGTATCCTAGTGCTTACACATTTGGTAAGTTTTTGCATTTTGCTGGAGTAATTTATCTAATTATGTGAGTTTTTTTCTAAGTTTAATATCTTTTGTTGAATTTCAGATTTTTGGTGTTCAAGTTATGTTGAAATCTAGTTTAATTTATCAGATTATTTATTTTCGTCTCTAATGTCTCTAAACTATAACATGTTTTATTTTTCAGTATCTCTCGTATGTTTAAAACTCCTCTTCACTATCAAGACAAAAAAAGCCATTACTCCGAAAATCTCTCCAAACTCACTCCTGTCAAGCCCGTAATCTGATCGGTTAGAGGAGGAAAAGTCTGCCCGTAATCACCATCTCGGATTGGAGTTCGACTTGACGGTTCAGCCTCCACCAGTGCCATTTTCCGGGTCTTTAAACAATGTAATGTTATGTACTGTTATTGCCAATTATAGTGTATTTGGTACTTTGACAATTATGGTGTGTTTGGTACTTTAGATGCCAGTGTTACTGCTTTCTTGTCTCTGTTTGATATTGGATGTTTGTGCTCATAGTATTCCCGAGTCAAATTAATGTAATTTTTTGTGGCTTTTGTTGTGTACTGCTATTGCAAATTGTAATGTATTTCTTTGAGGACCTTTTAGGTTACATCTATCTTGCATTTTGGACCTAATATTTGACATCTATCTTGGGCTTACTTCTATCTTGAGGTTACATCTATCTTGCATTTGGACATCTATCTTGCATTTGGACCAAATATTTTGTTTGATTAATCCACACTATCTTGAGCAATTAACATGCAATATAAACGAAATCGAACCGAAACGAATTTAGCGAATCATCAACATTTGAACATCAACATTCATATCCAACAAAGAAAATGATCAATACTCATTTATTAAAGTAAAACTACAATCATTCATGTCCAACGAAGCATTAACACTGTGAGTCCGGAGGTGGTCGTGGCGGTTAGGGCTGACTGGCTCCGGAGTTTCAACGGGTGTCCTACTGGGTGAACATCTGATCCCAACTGTCCATGCGAGTATCCTGCTGGTCCTGTCGCTCGCGAATGGGCCGGAGACCGTCAGTGACGTCGTGGAAATGTGAGCCCATCTGAGTCGAAAGGGTCTGCTGCTGGGTCTTCCAATGGTCCCACTAAGTAATCAATGTTTATAATAAAACAAATAGAATGGTTTATAGAATGATTTCTAGGACAAGAAATAAGACAATCCAGAAATTGATTTCTGGGTCAGAAATGGGATTTCTGGGTTAGAAATTGATTTCTGGGCCACAAATTGATTTCTAGGACAATAAATGAGACTATCAAGAAATCGATTTCTGGGTCAGAAATCAATTTCTGGGTCAGAAATTGATTTCTAGGACAAGAAATGAAACTACCCAGAAATCGATTTCTGGGCCAGAAATAGGATTTCTGGGTTAGAAATTGATTTATGGTTCAGAAATCGATTTCTAGGACAAGAAATGAGGCTATCCAGAAATTGATTTCTGGGTCAGAAATGGGATTTCTGGGCTAGAAATTGATTTCTTGGTCAGAAATAGATTTATACGACAAGAAATAAGACTATCCAAAAATCGATTTCTGGGTCAGAAATCAACTTCTGGGTCAGAAATCGATTTATAGGACAAGAAATGAAACTATCCAGAAATCGATTTCTGGGTCAGAAATGAGATTTCTGGGTTAGAAATTGATTTCTGGGTCAGAAATTGGTTTATAGGACAAGAAATGAGACTATCAAGAAATCGATTTCTGGGTAAGAAATATAATTTCTGGGTTAGAAATCAGTTTCTGGTCAGAAATCGGTTTCTAGGACAAGAAATGAAACTATCCAGAAATCGATTTCTGGGTCAGAAATGTGATTTCTGGGTCAGAAATTAATTTCTGGGTCAGAAATCGACTTCTGGGAATCGATTTCTGGGTCAGAAATGTGATTTCTAGTCCCAGAAATCAATTTCTGGTCCCAGAAACCATTCAATTTTCCAAGAAATCTATTCTACAATTTTTTTTTTGCCATATTCATTTTATTAATTTGAATAGTATATATATATATATATATGGCCCATTAAAAAGAAGATAAATTATAACAATTACCTTTAAACTAATATTTACGAGATATCACCGAAATGTTGCCGGAATGCATGTAGTGAAAATGATTTTTTTTAAGAGATTGATTTTTTTTTTTAGATGAGTGTATAAAATTGATGAATGAAGAGGAAGTGAATGAAGAGAGAAGAGAGATGAGAGAAGAGAGAGATTATTTTTTTAAAAAAATTGTAGTAAGGGTATTTTTGACATTTTAAGTGCCAAAATGGCTAAAAAAGAGGTTTTATTAAAAATGTGGCCAAAATTTGTGGTATACAAATCTAAATGGCTAAAAAAAAAAATCACTGAAATGAAAAAGGTAGTACTATGCCTTAGTTATCCGGATGTCCTATATGGGACCTTCAAGACATTGCAATTAATTAGCCCGTAGTTTAATAATTTTCTTTTTGGCTCTAAGCCTCTAAAGTTAGGTTCAAAATTTAATCACTTATATATTACTCCCTCCTATTCAGAATAAATGTCGTTTTGAGAAGTTGCACAATAATTAAAAATATTTTTGTTGTCAATAATAACCCTATTTAATGAACATATAGATGAATGTTTTAAGAAAAAATGAAGAGTGAATATGAAAAGATGTAGTGTATTTATTGACTCAATGAGGGTAATAATGGAAAAAACATGTACAAAAGACCTAAAACGACATTTATTTATTTAATAGTTGATAAAGTCAAAATGACATTTAAAAAAAATAGGAGATAGTATATAATAGTTAAAAGAAACCTTGAGATTCCCTTCTACAACACCACACTAATTACTAATTAATA